CAGTCTTACTGAGATATAACTTACATGTAGTAAAATTCACTGATTTAAGTGTAATTAGATGAGTTTTGACAAATATATACAGTTTTGTGAACACCACCACAATCACGGTATAGGTCTCCAGCACCACAAAAAGCTCCCGTGTATTGCTTTGTAGTCAGTCCCCTCCCCATCCCTGACCCTTGGCAAACACTGATCTGCTTGCTGGCACTACAGCTGTACCATTTCTAGAATTCCATGTAAATGAAATCATAGATTATGTTGCCTGTGTGTCTGTCTTCTTCAACTTAGCTTAATGCTTCTGAGGTTCACTCATGCTGCTGTGTGTACCAGTGCTTTGTTTCTATGTACGGGTGAGTAGCGGCCTATTACCTGGCTCTCCCACAGTCTGTTTATCCATTTACCTGCTGCTTCCTGGTGGCTCATAGGGTGAAGAGTCTGGCTGCAGTGTGGGAGACCTTCAGTCTCTGGGTCGGGAAGATCCCCTGGAGAAGGAAATGGCAACCTACTTCAGTATTTGTGCCTGGAAAATTCCACGGATGGAGAAGCCTAGCGGGCTACAGTCCACAGGGCCACAAAGAGTTGGACATGACTGAGCGACAAACACAACACTGATAGCTATTTGGGACTTCCAGACTTTTGGTTATTTTGAATAAAGACTGAAGTACAAGTCTTTGTGTAAATATCCATTTTTACTTCTCTTGGGTAAAATACCTAGGAGTGGGATTGCTGGGTCAAATGACATATTAGTTTTCTGTTGCTGTGTATCTACACACCACAAATGTAATAGCTTAACACAGCACCCACTTGTTATCTGACAATTCTTTATGCTGGAAGTCTGGGTGGGCTTAACCAGGTTCTTCACTTAAGAGTCTCACAAGGCTGAAATCAAGTTATTGCTCAGGCTGGGTGCTTATCTGGGAGATCAAGGAAAGAAACACTTCTTTCTTAGTTTGATGTGGGGGGAGCTCTTTCATCTCTTTAAGGTTGCCCCTATTCTGTCTTACATGGCCCCTGTATCCTCTAACCAGCCAGTGCATGTTGAGTCCTTCTCCTACTTCCAGTCTCTCTGGTTCTTCTGCCACTAGCCAAAGAAAACTCTGCTTTTAGAGAAACTGGTGTGATCAGATTGGACCAACCCAAACAATCTCCCTTTTGCCATATAATGTAACCTAATCACAGGAGTAACATCTGGGAGCAAAGGTCATGGGACCATCTTAAAATTCTGCCTACAACATATGGTAAGCGTATGTCTATAAGAAACCATCAAACTATTTTCCAAAGCGGCTACACCATTTCGCCTTCCCATTAGGAGTGCACGAGAGTTCTATTTGCTTCACATTCTTGCCAATACTTAGTATTTATTGTCAGTCACAGTTAGCTATTGGTGAGCATGTGGTGTTATCTCAAGGTGATTTTAATTTGCATTTCCTTAATGACTAATGATAATAAGCTCTTTTCATGTGCTTATTAGAGCATAAAATTTTGTTTGGTAAAAGCTTCTGCTTTAAGAAAAAACCTACCCATGCTGACTTAGATAAACTGCGGGGCTCTTATAGCATCTGTAATTTGTGAATTGCTTAAAGGGTCCCAGGGCCCACTCTTTTCTGGAACAGAACAGTCTGTCAAATGTTGGTAAATCATCAGTATACACACTGTGATTTGTGTGTGAGTGAGAGATGAAACCAACCAACGTCTTGATTTTCTACAGAGTCACAATCCCCAATCTGAAATCCTGAAATCCAATTGTTTTGAAAACCAAATGTTTTTTTCTTGGTTGGCAGCAAAATTCATTAATAGTGAAATCTGATGTGTACGTCTGTGGGTTTTGTTGTTTTTTTGCAGAAGGACCCTCTGTTGTCCCACGCCTGTGTCGGCTGCCTGGAGGCCTTGCTTGACTACCTGCATGCTCGGAGCCCAGACTTTGGTACAAACCCTCCCTCTTCTCTGATGTTCTCATGGGGGTGGTTGGAGGGAGCCAGCACCTGCCATGACACCCTCCCACCCCAAACTCCCATCCCCTGTTCTGTGATTCATACCCTTCTTTTTTGGTTTGCGGGATGTCAATTCCCCTACCAGGGACTGAACCTGAGTCATGGCAGTGAAAGCCCAGAATCCTAACGCTAGGCCACCAGGGAGCTCCCTGATTCACATTCATCTTGTTTAATTCTTTTAACAATACTGCAAGGGCACTGCTATGTCCATTATACAGATGAGGACACTGAAGTTCAGGGATGTCAAGCAACTTGCCCCACATAGCTCTTGCATGGCAGAGCTCCTCCCACATATAATGGGATATATGGTCTCCCTGTGCCATGCAGCGTGGGTGGATAGAAGCCCAGGAAAAAAGAAACCCCTGGAGTCAGCTTGTTCAATGCCCTGCCTCTAGTGGAGCAACCCGTTTTTTGAGCCAATAGGAGAAAGTTTTCTTTATCAGTGTTCCACGGCCTTCAGAAAAGCAGCATTAACAACACGATGACTGGTGTTTCCCATAGCCCTCCATGTGGCCTGCCAGCCCTGGAATCGGTTTTTGATGTTTACTCTCTTGGAAGCTGGAGAGAATTCCTTCCTCAAACCTGAAATCTTGAGACTTATGACCCTGGTAAGTATAGAATGGATGTCTTGTGGTCTGAAGAGTGTCATCCTCCAAGAAGGTAGAGGGGCTGGGTGGGCCTTCACCCTACAAGAAGCCTGCTTAGAGAATTCCTCTAAATGCCCACATCTTCTCAGCCCAGAAGACCTGGGCATTCTTTCTTATTCACTCACTAATGAAACATTGACCAGGGCCTGCCCACCACATGCCAGGTCCTGTGCTAGCTACTAAAGATGTCAATGAGCCAACTGTTCTTTCTTAAGGGTCCCTCAGTCTAGAGAAGGAGATAGACAATGAAACTAAGACTTAAAATATGATGTTATTAATGGAAGAGTAGAAAATAATGCTAAGTGCCTAGAACACAGTAGGTATCCACTGAATACACAACAAGGCAGTGAGCCCGTGAATGATAGTGAAACAGATCAATGAATAAGTCAATGGTTGGTGTGGGAACCCAGAGAAAAGTAAATTTTTTGTTGCTGTTGCACTGGGTCTTCATTGCTGCACGTGGGCTTACTCTAGTTGCAGCGAGTGGGGCTACTCTTCCTTTAAGTGCATGATCTTCTCATGGCGGTGACTTCTCTTGTTGCAGAGCGCAGCACAGGCTCTAGGCACACAGGCTTCAATAGTTGCGCCATGGGGACTCTAGAGTGGTGGCTCAGTAGTTGTGGCACACAGGCTTAGTTGCTCCACGGCATGTGGAATCTTCTCAGACCAGTGATCAAACCTGTGTTCCCTGAATTGGCAGGCAGATTCTTATCAGTGAGCCAACAGGGAAGTCCCGATAAAAGAATAATTGTTTCTGCCAGAGCTGGGAGGGACAGTTAATACTTGTTGGTGCTCAGTCACTCAGTCATGTCCGACTCTTTGCTACCCCATGGACAGCAGTATGCCAGTCTTCCCTGTTCTTCACCATCTCCCAGAGCTTGCTCAAACTCATGTCCATTGAGTCAGTGATGCCATCCAACCATCTCGTCCTCTGTTGTCCCTTTCTCTTCCCGCCTTCAATCTTTCCTAGCATCAGGGTCTTTTCCAATGAGTCAGTTCTTTGCATCAGGTGGCCAAAGTACTGGAGCTTCAGCTTCAGCATCAGTCCTTCCAATGAATATTCAGGACTGATTTCCTTTAGGATGAACTGGTTGGATCTCCTTGCAGTCCAAGGGACTCTCAAGAGAGAGTCTTCTCCAACACCACAGTTCAAAATCATCATTCTTTGGCACTCAACCTTTATGGTCCAACTCTCACATCCATATATGACTACTGGAAAAACCAGAGCTTTGACTAGACAGACCTTTGTTGGCAAAGTAATGTCTATGCTTTTTAATATGCTATCTAGGTTGGTCATAGCTTTTCTTCCAAGGAGCAAGTGTCTTTTAATTTCATTGCTGCAGTTACTATCTGCAGTGATCTTTGGAGCCCAAGCAAATAAAGCCTGTCACTGTTTCCATTGTTTACCCATCTACTTGCCATGAAGTGATGGGACAGGATGCCATGATATTAGTTTTTTGAATGTTGGGTTTTAAACCAGCTTTTTCACTCTCCTCTTTCACTTTCATTAAGAGGCTCTTTAGTTCCTCTTCACTTTCTGCCATAAGGTTGGTGTCATCTGCATATCTGAGGTTATTGATATTTCTCCCAGCAGTCTTTGATTCCAGCTTGTGCTTCATCCAGCCCAGCTTTTCTCATGATGTACTCTGCATATAAGTTAAATATGCAGGGTGACAATATACAGCCTTGATGTACTCTTTTCTCAATTTAGAACCAGTCTGTTGTTCCATGTCTGGTTCTAACTGTTGCTTCTTGACCTGCATATAGATTTCTCAGGGGGCAGGTTAAGGTGATCTGGTATTCCCATCTCTTTAAGAATTTTCCACAGCTTGTTGTGATCCATACACTCAAGGGCTTTAGCAGAGGGAGGGAGAGTTAATGCCTATCTATCTTTAATAAAATTAAAGAACCATTCAGTGGTGAAGGTAACATTTTAGCCGAGACTTGAAGGATTAATTGAGAAAGAGAAGGAAAAGTATTACGGGTACTGAGGTGAGAACTGCAGGTATACAAGGACATGGTGGCGGGTTGGTGTGACCACACGTAGTCTAATGTTGAGAGGCAAGGCTGAGGGGCAGGGAGTTGGAGACTGAGGGGTCAGCAGGGCCAGCTCTCAACGTTTAGCAGTCCTCATTACTTCACTGTCCCAAGACACAACCCCACCTGTGTGTACCAGTGCTGAGCTCCTTGAAGGCAGAGTTTTGTGGGCTTCAAATCTATGTCCCCAGCCCACTGCTGGGCATGGCAGGGATACAGGAAGTATTTGTGAATGGAGGAGATGCCGAGTCACTGCATTCTTGGCTTCTCTCCCTGGCCCAGTTTGTGCGGTTCCGGAGCAGCAGCATCCTTTCTCAGGAGGTGGGTCATGTTCTGCAAGGCGCAGCTTCAACCGACCTCTCTACCTTCCCTGCCTCCACACTCCAGGCTCTGCATGGCTTCTTCCTGCAGGTGAGTGGGGAGGGGATGCCATTTAGCCACTGTGAGGCCAAACCCTCTATACCATCTTCTCTTGGGGCGGGGTGGGAGGGGGGAGCTCTAACCACAACAGCCAATGGGAGGTCAGGAGTGCAGGGGGTGGAGGGCAGAGAGGGCCTGTATGGAGTGGGCACTGAGAAAGCCTGTCTTTCTTACCCTCTTTTTTCTCCAGGTCCAGAGCATGGGCCTCCTGACTGACCACAGCATGGCCCAGACCCTGCAGGCCTCCTTGGAGAGTCTTTCCCTCAGGGCCTCCCTGGCCCAGCCACCCCTACAGGACATGCTGTATCCTTTCTTGCATCTTGGAGCTTTGGCCTGGGCATGGTCACCCAGGCTATGGGAGGCCACAGCATCATGCTTCAGAGTAGAGAAGTACCCTGTCTACAGCCCTGTTCTCTTAAGGCAAGCAGGGGTCGGTGAGAATAATTAACAGTGGGAGCAGTGACAATGACTTGTTCTGTTTGTTAAGTTCCTACCAAGGACCAGTCATGTTACATGCGCTGTATCAAATCCTCACAATAGCTAGGAGTGTTAATGCAGTAGTAACTTAGATCAGAGAGGTTAAATGACATGCCTGGATCCACACTGATAGCATCAGGATTTGACCCCAGATTTGACCATCTCCAAAGTCATATCACCAAACTCAGAGGGAGTGACCCCTTCCCCAGGAGCTTTGGAGAAAGTTGCCCAAGCCCAGTTGGCACAGATGCTGCCCTGAGTGTAACATGGGGGATGGTGCTGGGTGACTGGCAGGTCCCCGAGAAAGCCAGGGGCTGTGGCAGTGGTCACCTGCCCTCTGAGGGGTTGCTCTGGTGGTGCTCCAGAGACACTTGGTCTGGAGGTGCGTGTGCTGGGGTGGGAGTGCCTCCTCACAGACTCTCCTCCTTCCCCTTTCCATGGAACGGTTCCCTCCTTGATATATAGTGACTACTGAGCTCAGGTATTCAGGTCCCAAATTTAGAGTCCATCCCATTATTCTCAGGAGCACCTCTGCTCTTGTCTGTTTTTGCCCCAGAAGCGTGGTTCTCCCATGGTTGGCCCTACCTCCTTGCTGTTCTCCTCTCATGGTTGTTGCCAGCTGCCTGGGAGGGGTGTCTGTATCCCTGTCCCACATCAGAGACTGACCCTCCGGCCGGATGCCTAGAAGCAGAGAGAACTGAGACCTGGAGAAGACAGTCAGGGCACAGTGGTTTGGAGGAAATGGATGACAACTGCAGCCATTCATCTGGGGCCATTTACTCTGTCATTGAAACAGAGTCAGGAAATAAAGTGATACACTCAGATGCCTGTGTGGGCTCTCCAAAAACATTTCACTTTGCACTTACCTGGGCTCCCTCCAGCTGGTTCCTCAGCCAGGATGGGTGGCCTCCTCAGGGAGAGAGGGGGTGGACTTGTTCTGGTTACACCAGCATGTCGCGTCAGTTGAAGACATCAGTTAGGCCATCTTTGGGGCAGGAGAGGCAGAGAGAGGCCACATGTTTGGTGCTGCTGTGATGCAGGTGCTCTGGGATCAGTTTATCTACTGCTTTACCTCACGTGAAAGTGGAGAGAGGTACAATTTCCAGGCAAGGAAAGTGGGCAGGTCAGAACTTTCTCAGCCTTCCTAACTAAAGGAAGCTGTTCGGCTCATCTCCTTCCTGGTTGAAGCAGGTCCCCTGTGTGCCTTTCGCTCCTGGCTCTCCTCGGAGCGTATATTTGTGCACCCATGTATGCAGTTCTTCCAAGGTCTGCTCTCCACAACTGTCCACTCCTGTTCTGCGTCAGCTCACCTGGAGTGTCAGCTCCCTTACCAACTGTCTGCCCGGGCTCTCTCGGAAACTCAGCCACTGTTCATTGGTGCCAAATAGTAATAGAAACTTGGAGACAGAGTTTTGGGTGAAGTAGAAAAGAGTAGCTTTTATTGCTTTGCCAGGCAAAAGGAGCCACACTGGGCTAATGCCCTCAAGACTGTGTGATTCACCCTGGAGGGGGGTAGTGAGGAATTTTATAGTCTTCAAGGGGCAGGGCATGATCCATGGACAGTTCTCAGATCGGTTGGCATCAAGATGAAGTTTCAAGTATCATCAATTTTCTGGTTTCAGCTAGTCAAGGGCCTGTGGTTCTTGTGGGCAGCAGTTTTCATTTGGTTGGGGGGGGGGGGGTGGTGGTGGTGGTGTGTTTCCTATAAAAACAATTTAGGAATGTGTGTCAGACCTTTATATCTTCCAGGGAACTGGGAGTTGGGTGATTCTGCTATGTGGCAGAATTCTAGTCTAAACTGTTACCAGTTCCCTAGTCTAACAGCTATTCTTTGTTTCTACAGCTTCACCTTTCCCAATCATTAACGCTAGAGTCAGCCTTTTACTTCAAAAGACAAGGATACGGGGTTGTACACGGTTTCGGAGCTCTCCTCGGGTCTGTCTGTACTGACGCTGTACAAAATCAGAGACCAGGGAAGAACCCAACGAGCTTGGTTTAGAATTTCGTGGGTCGAAGCGGCGAGCAGGGGATGTCCCAGCTCTGCACTGCACATTACTTAGAAAAAGGGGTTAGTCACGACCCACTAAACTGATTTTGACAAATGCAGTTTGAAAAACACTTAGCTGACAAAACAGTTTCAGGGAGGGCGCTAGGAAGACCGTCCGACAGGGATCACGGCGTCAGTGTGCTGACGCGCCCTTTCAGGCTATTTTCTCCAAACCAACCTTGACACACCAGTGCGCCGGCGGACCGGCAAGGTGGGCGGCACCGGAATCCCACAGACCTCAAGCCGGGCAGATGCCTGCGCTTTCTGGGCGGAGCCGGAAGTGAGGTCAAGGAGCGACAGTCGCGGCCTACGCTCATTGGTCAGGGATGGCACGGTGGGCGGGGGCAGTAATCGGCGGTCCCAGTGCTGCTACTCGCGGGCATTCTTTGAGGATCCACGACTCTGCTGGTTGCCAGTCAGACTCTGTCTGATTCCTGCCCTCCCTCGCCCGCCTGGCCCGGTAGGTAGGGCGAGGGCCGTGGGCAAGCAGACCGCTTTGGAGAGCGGGGGGAGGAACCGAGGGCCCAGAACTGGCTGCAGGGGGTAGGGTGTGGGATTCGCGGACCTCATTGGAAAGACTTTCTCCTTTAGGAGCTCTAAAGACACGGGTGGCATCCCTGGTCTGCAAGCCCGAGTGGCCCGCTCAGAACACACCACCAAGTCACCTCTCTCATTTCCCACTTCTTCCCCTCTTCAGTCATTACCGGCCATCTGATAGTCCCTGATTCCCAAGTTTCACCTTAACCAGAGTTTGGTTCCCTTGAGTCTGGAGTATGACGGTGGAATGTAGGGCTCTGGTTGAGCTTGAACTATTTCCTCACATTCTGTAGGCTTCAGTTGTCTGATCTGCACGGGACAGAGTTGGTTCTCTGATTGACCTCTGTGAGCGGTCACTGTCCATAACTGAGCATCTCTCCCCTGGGGCAGGTGTCCTGGTAGAACAGTGGCCAGCTCTGAGATAGCCTGTTCATTAAGACTCTTAGCTTAACTGGAAAATCTGTGAGTGATCTATAAGTGATTTGGGCAGTCACCTCATTTTTCTGTGCATTCATCTCCACGTTGGTAAAATTGGGCAGCTGTCATCTGAGTAGAGGCCTCCTCTGACTGCTGTTTTTAATGTCACACTTTGCTGACTCCCTCTTATCCTTCTGTGCTTGTTTTACAACTTTGTTGGTTGTCTCTTAACCCTACTAGAGATAGAAGTACCATTGTGCGGGGAATGTTGTTCCTGCTGTATTCCTGGCTCCAGAACATTCAAGGAACATGAAAGTTACTCAGTAAATAGTTGGGGAATGTTGCCTAGATAGGAACATGTGTTGCTTGTGGTGCCTAGGAGAGTAACAGCCGTCTTACCCCAGGACTGCCTTGCCTCCTTTCCCACCCAGCACCCCTTCTTCCTTTCTGATGACAGAAGTCAGGAAAAGCAGGAAACCCTACAGGTTTCATGTTTTTGACTGCCGGGCCTCCTGGAAGGCCAGGGTGGGGGAACTGAGGGGGAATAATGTTGACCCTCCTTCCTCAGGCACAGTGCCTCACCCAGGTCTTTGTCTCTGCAGCAGGGAGATGACCTCCTTATCCTTTTGCAGTGAGGAAGATGAAGATCAGAGAGGCTGAGCAATTTGCCTTCTGTAGGTCACGAAGTCAGGCAGAGCCAGGGCTCCAGTGCAGGGTTCCAGACCTGTTCTCTAAGCATCCCTGCTGTGCTGACATTTATCTTTCTTCCTCCCATCATCCCATGTCGTCACCGTGTGTCTCTTGGTCCCTGGCCCTGGGCTAGGGACTGGGGCTTCAGTGATTCTGAAAGCTGGGTTCTTGGTATTTGGAGGCTGTGTCATGTCAGGGGAAGTTGCTTTTCAGTTCACTTTCTGTTTTATGTAACACCAAGCTCTGGGTCTCACCTTCTTTCACTGGGTTACTCTCTTAGCTCCAGAGTCTTGGATATGGACCTTCTTCAGTTCCTGACCTCCCTGTCTGTCCTGCTATTGTCTGGAACAGGAGTCACAGACACCCTGAGGACCTCCCTGGACCCGAGCCTGGAGATCTGTATCCTTTGGGGTTGGAGGTATTTTAGAGGGATCTATAAAGAAGGTCTCTCTATACCCACAGTTGCTTGGGGGATTCCAGGGTAGAGCAGGACCTGCCCCCCTCAACCAATAGAAATCGGGGAGAAAAAGTAATGTGTTCTAACCAGATCTTGATCAAGTCAGTTCTATTCTGAGCCTCAGTTTCCCCATACAAATTGAGAAGGCAAGGCATATATTTCAGTACCATGAGGACCCTGAGGATTTTGCATGTACCTACCACTTTCTGTGTGAGACCCTGGGCGGAGACCAAATCCTGGCATTTTGGGCTATCTGCTAAAAAACCGGGCCTTGAAAGAGTGGAAACTCATAGAGAGGGGTGGGAAGGCACCCCAGGCAGAGTGTACAGTGTGAGCAGAGAAGCGGAGGTTCTGGGAACAATGAAGGGTTGTGGGAGATGGTGGAAAGACCACAGGGATGGGATGGGAGGGCAGAAGCCAGGTCCTGAGGGTTGTATTCAGGCTGTTGGGTGTGGAATCCTCTGTGAAATAATTATACGTTGTGGGATTTGTATGCTTCTCAGACAGCTTATTCATTCCCTGGGAAGTCCCAGCCATGTGCATCTATGCCCCTTGTAGAGACTTGCTGGCCAGGAATGGGCCCTCTGGATCAGGACCACTGGATTATCCAGGCAGGAGAATTGGTGCCAGCTCCTTAACTTAATGGTGCTCAGACAAGAAGATGTTTGAGGTGAAGCGGCGGGAGCAGCTGTTGGCACTGAAAAACCTGGCACAGCTGAACGATGTCCACCAGCAGTACAAGATCCTGGATGTCATGCTCAAGGGGCTCTTTAAGGTGCACACAGGCAGGGGGCAGCTCATGGTAGGCCTGGTCTTTGATCTGGGCACTGATGGATGAGTAGGAATTCCCTATGGGGATGGTGTTCAGTGAAGGGGAAGTGAATCCACAGAAGATTTGAAGTAGGGCATCAGTAAACAGGGCTGGGGCTGGTCTGGGAAGACCTTGGCAAAGCCACTCAGCCCAGGCGGGCTTCCCTCAGGTGCTGGAGGACTCCCGGACAGTGCTCACTGCTGCAGGTGTGCTCCCAGATGGGCCCTTCCCCCAGGACGAGAAACTGAAGGATGGTATGGTCTTCCCCGCTGCAACCTTGATCTTCTCCAGCTGCTCCTTCCCTCTTGTTCTTGTCACTCTTCTTTTCCTCTCTGGAAGTGCTCTCTTGCAGCACCTTCAAGGAGTCTCTTGGGTGGTTGGGCACTCAGTATAAGATTCTCCGAGTGTTTCTGGGCTCGTTTCAGAGCCAGTTTCTGTGTCCCTGATAGACATACATTATGTAGTGCTGTCCTGTGCTTGGGGCAGGGGAATCAGGGAGGAGCCTTTGCCTACTTCCAGTCCAGCAGTCCTTGCCATCACCACCCTGACCCTTCTGGTAGAGATGGCAAGGATTGTTCCCATTTATAGAAGAAAAAAACTGAGATCTATTGAAGTGACTGGCCCATGGGAGCAGTTACCAGCACTCTTTACTGCTATTCTAAAAGCCTCAACCTCCTTAAATCCTTTTTGAGACAAGGTGGGACCAACATAAATAAAAGAATATTCTGTATCCTTTCATCTCCTCTTCCAGGAATTTCTCTCCAGTGGTAATGTCTTCCCATTAGCTGGTTACATTCTAACAATAAAGTATGTTAGGTCACACTGTCTGAGCCAGGACAGAAGTAGCCTTTACATATTGAATGCTGGGCAGATACCAGCTCTAATCTCCACTGTAACTGAGGAAGGCACCATCACCTCCAGTTTCCAGGTGAAAGAGGACAGGTGGTTTGCCTGGCTCTTACCTATAAACCTAGTGAATTCCTGAGTTCTTTGTGATTCAGGATTATTCTGCAGCCCAGAGGTCCCTGCCCAACTTGTCTCAGACCCAGGCGAGCATATCTTTGGAGGGGTCCCTTTCTCTCGCTGTGTGACCTGGCCAGTGCTGATAAGGACGTGGGCCTTATCTATGGGGGTCACTCAAACAGGGCCCCCCACCCCAGGGCTGGGTGTATAGTTACTATTCTTTATGCTAGCCTGTCAGGGGAACCTGCCACCTTAATGGACACTAAACTCAAACTGATCTATTGACTAAAAGATACTGGTGGAAAAACTGACCAAAATCAAATAAGGTCTATGGATTAGTTAATAGTATTGTATCAGTGTTAATTTTCTGGCTTAGATGGTTTGTACAATGGTTATGTAAGGATGATAACATTAGAGGAAGCCGAGTGAAGGAATTTTTTGGTGTATTATGTAAGTCTAAAATAATTTCAAAATAAGAGCTTAAGCATTTAAAATAAAATTGGACATATACTAAAAAGAAAACAAGCCCTGATGTGTTCCCTGGCCATCCTAACAGAACTGACCCCTCACAGACACTAGTTAACACCAGAGCCCAGCTCTGGACATTATGGTACCAAGTTGGGGAGGTTAGGCCCAGCAAAGCCTCATGGGATGCACATGCCTCCATCTGCGCAGTGGCACCCCTGTGGTCCCCACGGCAAGCAAGTCTTCTGAGCTGCGAGGTACGGGGGAGGAAGCATGTCCTTTGGAGTCAGACAGACCTGGGTTTGCTGCTCACTACCTGTCAGCTTCCGTGTCCCATGTGTGAAATGGGAATTACAGCCACATCTCCGTCTGAAGGTAGTTTTGATGATTCAGTGACATAAACCCCTCAGCACGAGTTGCACGCATGGTCAGCAGCCTGTATGCAGCAACTCTGCGCCCTTCTCCGGCTCGTGGGCTCACTGCTGCCCTTTGGAGGGTGTGCAGAGCCGGCCGCGAGGCTGCAGGGGGCCGTCTCCACCAGCCACTCACCAGGGTCCTCTGCCAGCTTTCTCCCAGGTGGTGGAGAACACGGCCTTCTTCGGTGACGTGGTGCTGCGCTTCCCAAGGATCGTGCACCACTATTTTGACCACAACTCCAACTGGAACCTCCTCATCCGCTGGGGCATCAGCTTCTGCAACCAGTCGGGCGTCTTTGACCAGGGCCCCCACTCACCTATCCTCAGCCTGGTAAGGACTGGGGCGGAGGAGGTCTGGGAGCCCTCTATGTGGTTGTACTATGAGCCACCATGAGCCTGCTTCAGTGGGGCCTGAATGTCCCCTTGGTTGCACTTTCTGTGATAAGCCTCGGGCCACCTTGAGGTACCATTTCAAGGGGTTCTCTGCTGACCTTGGTGCCTGGGGGTCATCACCTGGCCCACATCTGTCCCAGTC